GTTGGGCCCTATAGTAGACATTTCTGTTTGGTAAGCATGTTCATACCCATTTTAGAGACGTGCAAGACCTACTACACATGACCATCTGCCACTCTGATGCCCTTAGGCTATGAGGGACAGGCACTGTGCAGATGCGCCTCAAAGCAAAATGGTTTGGATACCGCCTCTAGTACTTATCATATCTTTGACCTTGAGAAAGTCACTTCACCTGCGGGAGCCTCTGTTTTCCTACCTGTGAAATGGCCAATTAATTTGCTCATCTCACAGTTATGACATAAAATCTAAGTAAGATAATATATATAAAGTTCTCAACCTAATGCTTACTACACAGTAAATATTCAGTAACTGGCTGATATATTTTTCCCTCTTTTAATTTATAAATGTTATTATTTTAAAATCATGTTAATATTATTTTAACACTTGTGTTGCTCAGTAAATTAGAAAGAACAAAGCTCTAGAGAGCCTCACAAAATCTTGGCTGGGCCTGCAGTTGGTTAATCATGAAAATTAATTTTCAACCCAAGTAGTTATCAATGTGTGCTCTGAAAATTGTTTACTATGTTTGCATTTACACCTATTTGTGATATACAGAAACATTCTTCTCCTTGTTTTATATATTTTTACTTATACAATAAATACACAATAAGTAGGAAGAAGGAACATTGGGGGAGGGATTTTCTTTAATTAAAATATTTTCAATGAAATTTCATTCTTCTTGTTCTTTAATCCAGGAAAATAAATTTAAATATCCTTTTGTTGTTTTTGTGTGTGTTGTGTTTCTGCTCTTTTGTGGCATAAAATACATTTCTTAGTAGGTGTGAAAACAGCTTGAAAGCCACTGAATTGGAGTGCAAGCTTCTTAAGGACAGGGCTGGATCATTTTTACTCTTTGTAAAGCATTACGTATACCGTCAAGAGTAAGAAAAGTGATAGACATCACCGAAAGGAGGCTTGCCTCAAGTCAGAATTTATGAAAAACTATGTATTTGTGGATAAAGACTTCCCAGGAGATAGGAGGCTCAGTTCCAGCCAGCACTTTTACTTTTCAGCTTTGATAAGCAGCAAAATTTCCAGCAATATTAAAATATAAATATCTCTATGAAGATTACTGCTCTGGAGGTCATTTTCTGATTTCCTTTAAAGTCATCCAGTTCACTCAAATGTATTTTTCTGAGTGCCTTGACGGCCTTCCTATTGTGCTTCAAGGATAACCACAAGGGCTGTGTAGCAAGTGTGGATTTTTTTTTTCCTTTGGAGAAGCTATTTCATGTAATGCAAAAAGGGTTATATCCTCTCAACCTCAGGCTTGAGAGGCAAGCGAGCCTGCCTAGCTACTTCAACGGAAGAAACTTTTAAAATTATTATGGGGCTGGCTGACTTCTTTTTTCTTTCTTTTTTTTTTTTCATGACTTGATTTTATGCTTTTCCTGAGATGTGGTTTTCCAAATTTTATTTTTATTTTGCACATGTTGTTTCAGACTGGTGAAATGTTCATGAATAATGCTAGTTTATTTTCATAACTTTGTTTTATGAGAAGAAAGTTGCCGAGAGACATTTTCTCAGAATGGAGCAGATATGTTTGGTAGGTGAGGACAGACAGATGGTGTCAGGAGAAATTTTGTGTTATAGAGAAGAATAATCAGTGCTGTGCTTTTCCCAGATATCCACAGCCAGTCAGGCTCCCCTGGGGAAAGGTGCAATTTGCATGTTTCTTTCATCAAATTTTTCTGATGTCATATTAATGACTTAAAGGAAGATAAGCAGCTTTTTTCTTTTGTGTTATTCAAATACAGAATGGTTCTTTTTTAACAGAATTAGTTTATACGTAAATAAAACACCTGAAAATGGTCATTCCTGGTATATCTCTAAACTTCTGGTCCAATTATGACAAAATCAGATCCATGATAATTTAGCAATTGACATAGCATGCTCGTTAATTTTTACTCATCATATGCTGACAGTGAGCAATATCACTTTATTGGATTGATAACAGAAACTTTACCTTCTTTAGATTTTCAGTAATAAGTTTCATTGTATAATATGTACTGTATACCTTTATCGGGTTGATAATATTGTATACTATTGATATATCAGCGGTTTTGAATTTATAGGTACACCTTTTATACCATTTTCAGACAACAAATAATTGCAATAAGGTTTTGATGTGAATTTTTAGCCTTCTCTCAAGTTTTCCTGATAGAATCTTATTTGTGAATACTCAAGTATATGAGACCAATTCCCTTAACTGTACCAAAAGAGAAGACGTACAGTAGAATTTGGCAGCTGTATTTGGAACGATACGTTCTTGGCTTTCTTGTGTTCTTCTCAGGTGCAAGTTTTTCAGCTGATGGAATCATATATGTCCTATCTCTGAGCAAACCTTGTCCAAATACACATAAAATGTGGAATTAGTCTTACTCTGTTCACTAACACAATATATACCCTGCTTATGCTCCCCACTCCCTACAAAGCAAATCTCACATTTTGCAAATGGACTTACACACACACACACACACACACACACACACACACCCCTCCAACAACAGCAGGCACCTGCTGCTAAAACTTAACTCTCTTTTTCCCCTTTCACTCAACCAGCACGAACTCCTACCAAACCCATACCTATACTTTCCAACTTTCCTTTCTCACACTCCAGTACCCCCCAGCGCTCAACAGCCCCCAGTTCATTATACTGTAGATTTACAGCTTTCACTCAGTCAGCTTATATTTATTAAGTTTTACTCATTAAGCTCCAGTTAGTGATTCACAGTAGGCAAAGCTCTGGGATATGACAATGAATAGGATGGACATGTCACTGCCCTTAATTTCAGTTCCTGACAAGGAGATAAGCAACTGCAATATATTAGGACACATGCTGGGTTAGCAGCAACAGATCTCATGAGGGCACACCTTACTGGGTCAAGTAATCTAAGAAGACTTGCTGAACTTGAGGTAGACTCTCTCTGTAGCTACTTCTCTGACTGAAGCCCATCATGAAACCGGGCAGCCCTAATGGGGTCCTACTTCTTGGTCCATTCCATGTGCTTAGTAGGAACTACTGTACTCCAAACCAGATGGGACCGCATCTATGACCCTTCTCTGTACACTGCTGCTGTGGCCACATCCAGTCTTTCTCCACATCTCCCTTGGTTGCCTCCCCCTCTGAACACTGCACTTGGGTCTGCTGGCCATCCCTCTCTCCTTCCCTTCTTCCCTCTAACCTCACTGTTACTTCCTCAAGCCCATCACCATTTGCCTTTGAAACTTAGTACTGTTCCTACTCTATCCCTGGCCTCTGTGGATTTTCATAAAGATAATGTTATAGAGAACATTTACAGACCCCACAATTTGGGAGCAAAATATTACTACAATTTCTTAATGACTGAAGACTATATATGAGGCCACTATACACATTCAAAACCAGTAGCATATCAAAGGGCTCTTTACTGTCCTATATCAAAACTACTGTTTTGTTATGGCTATTTAAGAGACAAGGAAATTACATGGTGATTAAAAGCATAGAAGTCTAAAACCTATCTGTCTGCATTTTTATTCTGACTCCACTGCTATGTGACATTATTTCTTCACATTTCTGTATCTCAATTTCCTCACCTGAAAAGCAAGGATAAGAGTATCTACATATAAGATTATTTCAGGGGTTTAAAGCTAAATATATGTAGAACACTTAGAAGAGCACCTGGCACAGATAGTGGGCATTCGATTAACATTAGTCATAATTATTAATATATTATTATTTGTTATTGTTGTTATTGTTAGAGAGGTAAGGGACTCCAGAAGGAAAGCAGAGAATCAGGATTTCAACCCTGTTTTGTTCTATTCAGTGAATGAATTAATGACTGAATGATACCACTCTGCCTCCCTCAAAGGGGAACAAGATTTTCCCTCCACTTTGGTCTTCAGTTGCACACTGGATTAATTATACTGCTTAGGTCACCATTTTATCATAAGTCTATGCATAACCTTATTTTCCTTAATTAATTTTTTCCCATAATGCAATAATCACCTGTGGACTACCCCCTTCAAAAAATCCAGGGCCTTAGCAATACATTGTAGCAGACTGTGTTTTCCAAAAGTGACCACAATAATATTTCCAGTTCCACTACTCTTTGAAAACCTTGTCTTCTCCCCCTCCTCATCAAGTGGTAAATCTTTTTCCTCTTCCCTTCAACTCAGGAAGGGCTTTGTGACCACCTGGATGAATAGAGAATAAGGTGTAAGTGGTACTGCTTAGCTTCTGGAACTGGATCATGGGAGATAATATGGCTTCTGCCTGTTTCTCAATCTGTCTCTTTTTCTGTTTCATGATGCTCATCCTCAGAGGATAGCTCTAGGCTATGAGAAAGCCCAAAGTAGCCCACTCAGAGGGAATACATAAAAAGGCCCACTTGGAGAGTGTCTGAGGTCTGCAGCAGACAGCACCAATTTTCAGACATATCAGTGAATAACACTATATGATTATATTCCTCTAGTCTTTGACTATTATAGCTGAGGCATCAGACCTGATGAGGGAGAGACAATTGTCATTATTCTGCCTGGTCATAAATTCTTATGACCATCATAAATGACTATTTTTTAACACTAAGTTTTGGGGAAACTTTTCATGTAGTTATATTAAGGAACAGAAATCAGTACCTGAAAGTGGGTTGCTACCACAACAAAAATCTACAAAAGTGGCAGGGGAAATTGGAAGAGTGTTGAAGAGATTGATAGTATCCCAATACAGAGTCATTTGGAAGCTGGAGAAGTTTCATTACTCGCACTGCTGCCACATTGTAGTCATCCAGGCGGTCAAAAAGTCTCAACCAGATTCAAGAGGAAGAAAATAGTCCCCATATCTTTATGTTAAAATGATAAACTTTTGAAGAGCCTATGGGACAAGAAACATTGCTTTGACCATTTTTGGAAAATAAAATCTGCCACAGTCCACTCTTTGATGACCACATTTACATCCCTCCTGCATTAAAAATATATATACTCACCACCTTCCTAAGAGCCTTCATATTGTCTTGCAACTTCAAATGGAAAATGTCAAGGGGATGGAATCATCTGAAGGCTCATTCACTCACAGAGTTGGTGGTTAATTCTGGTTATCAACTGGGGTAGACATCATGGAAAAGAGGCCAGCCATCATGCCACACCATGTCCGACTTTCTGACCTACAGAAACCATGAGCATAATAAATGGCTGTTTTATTATACAAAGTTTGGGAGTAATGTTTCTGCAAAGGCTTAGTAACTGAAACATACATCGAATTATGTGGTTTCCCTACCCAAGGTAATCATTATCCTGAGTCTCCAATTTGTCATACCCCAACTTTTCATGTTGTATCATTTTTATTGCAACTTTATTAGTATAATAAAAGTGTATACTTTTTACTTTAGTTTTTTTAAAAGTAGTCTGCCACTTTTGAACATCTTTTTTTTTTTTTTTTAACTCAAGCCATTATTCCTAGAAAACTAACTCAGGAACAGAAAACCGAATACCACATGTTCTCACTTTTAAGTGGGAGCTGCCTGATGAGAACACACGGACACATAGAGGGGAACAACACACACTGGGGCCTTTCAGAGGGTAGAGGGTGGGAGGAGGGAGACGATCAGGAAAATAACTAATGGGTACTAATTAAATAATCTATACAACAAATCACCATGACACAAGTTTTTCTACATAACAAATCAGCACTTACACCCCTGAACTTAAAACAAAAGTTAAAATAAAATAATATATTGCCAAGATTCACCCATATTGATGCTTCTCACTACAGTTGGTTTGTTGTGACTATGGGCTTATATTTTATTGTGCAAATAGTCTACAATTTATTTATTGTCTTAGCAGATGAAGGGCATTTCACCTGGTGTTTGCTATCGTGAATAGAACTGCTATGAAGAGTCGGGAATATGTCTGGGAATGGAATTGCTAGGTAATACGAATATTCAACATTAAAACATAAATATTCAAATTGGTTGCACCTATTTATTCTACCTCAAGCAGTGGATAAGAGATTTTGTGGATCCCATGAAGGATTTGGGTGAAAAGAATAGGTATACATTCAAATTCTCTTGACCCTGATTAAAATGTTGCTGCTATCACATGAAGTGGACAATACTAGAGATCCCTTGCCTCACTGTGTTGATGTTTCCACATCAGCCATTGTTATAGTCAGACAATGATTTAGGTATTTTAACACACACACACAGGCACATAGATAGAGAAGAGCATCCTGCCTTGCAGTGTGTGCTCATATTCCTCCTTCCCACCATCCTTGCTGATAATCCAGGTACTTTCCCAATTCTCCTAGCCCCTGAAAGAGGAGGAAGACATGGGAAGGATAAGGAAAACAAGTACAGATCTCCAGAGAAAATGTTCAGGCCTGACGAAGGAGTGACTGGCTGGATATTAAAGATTTATAATTCAACTGACTCGTGTTGATCGATTTACTTTTGTTGTTTCAGAATTTACACTAAACGTTTTCATTTACTTGTAAGGCAGTCTTGCAACTAGCACTATATAATGTGCTAAGTAGGACGAATGCTTAAGAGGCAAGCAGCTGCCGATGCAAAACAGGCATGAAGCCATACACGCACAGCATGCTTGTAAGGGAGCTCTGTTATAGCAAATCAGGGGAAAGGACAGTCAAGCCATCAATGGAGAATAGAAAATACTAAGGTGTCTATATATTATTTTGAATGACCTCAATAATGTAGCATAATTGCAAATATAACCTTGAAGACTGAAAGGGGAGAATTAGGAAAGTATTGAAGATTTTTTTTAAAGAAGAAATTGACCAATTAAAAGTCCTGTGTAACATCCTTCTATTTCTTTAGTAACCTATTGATCAGATGAAGGGAATTACAGAAAAGGACACCTAATAGAATTAGAGAAAAGGACACCAAATAGAAAGAACAGTATATCTATGTGTCTACTCATTTATCTATCTATGATAAAAGAAACCATACTTTACCATGCATTATTTCACATCCTTTTAAAAATACTTTCCTCAAGTGTGAATTTTAACAAAAATTTACAAAACATTAACAATCAATGAACCCCCAACATTTGTAAAGAAAGCACATTTATAAAGAAGTGAGATTCCCACAGGAATTCCTTGAGGAAAGCAATTCACTGTACCTCACAGGCAGCAACACTATGAAAAAATATACTTATTAGTCTAGGTATTCAAACAGCCAAATATAGCATTTAATTCAATTATAAGAGACAGTTGACCATTGTCTTTTTAAAAAAATGACAAAATTTGACATTTCAGATGTGCATGTGTTGCATTACTTTTTTTGGGTCACTGTCAGTGCATCTTTATGCAATGTGGCTCATATTAGCATCCTGGAAATACTCTACACATTTTCGTCTATACAATGTAACTATAAACTAAAATGATGGAGCATCGCATCCATCATTTTGTGGGAAACAAAATGATGGGTCCCACTCAATTCTATACCGTGAGAGAGTCAGAGTTCTGATGAATATGCAGATAAAGCTGAGACCTCCTTTAAGATATCCAGGAGAGCTTTGCCTGGGCTTCTGAACAGAGGGCCTCTGAACGATGTAACTATTAAATATACAATGCAGAAATAATTGCCCTTAACTGGGCAGTGCACACACTGTGGGGAATTTTTTAAGGAGTGTTTTAAAATAGAAAATGGCCCTGTTTGAAAGAAAATGGATTATAACAGTTGTGTCCTTCTGGGATCCCCAGACATTTCTGTTAGGGCTGCCTCCCCAGTGTAGCAGTGAGTCCGTCGGCACTTATCAACATTTCCCAAGCACTAACAGGGTCATTTGTGTTCTTGCATTTAGACTGCACAAGCTCAGACTTCCAAGCTTTTTTTACTTTCAGCTATAATTATTTCTTGTTAGTATATTAATGACAAGTAATATATACTAGTAGAATCCACTGACAGCAACGAAGTTGGCAAAAAGGATGTAGTCCTATTTCTAAATTTTGTACAGATATACAGGTGTACGAACTTACTCTCCTACTCAAAGTATTTGATTACAGCTTTCCCCTAAAAATATGACTGTTGAGAAATTCCACTAACCCGTTTATTAGTTACTGCTATAGATTTCGCTTTCAGCATAAATAGTCATGTTTTATGAGGTACTAGTTTGGAGGTTACATACAGTGATTCAGAGTTCAGACTCTAGCAACAGACAGCAGAGTGATAGAATTCTGGGTCTTTTACTTTTTAGTTTTGTAACCTTGGGCCAGTTACCTCATTTTCCCCCATAAGATGACTACAGTACTAGTATTACATAATCATGATGTTTAAATTAGATAATGCATGTAGAACATTTAGCGTAGTGCCCATCACTAGCTGTTACTTTTTAAGCAACAGCTTAAAAAGTTGGGAATTAATACAATTACTTTAATTGTCAGGGCCATAGATCAAATTGATGCAATAAATTGTAATACTAAAAACCACTGAGGATGAGTTTTAAATAATGAAACAAGAAAACCTCCAGCTGATTAGACTCTGCTTGACTCTGGGGGCAGACACTTTTGCATGGAAGGCATTAGTGGGAATATGCCTTTGAGTGACTGAAGAAACTCTTCAAGGTAGCACTTAATCTGGAACACATTCTGGTTTCTGACTAAAGCCACAAAGAGGTGTAGTTGAGCACCTATACACTGAAGTAAGCTTCTTGGGAGAGTAGCATCGCCAACAGAATCTACAGTTGTGTAGTAATAAACTTCAGTAGCAATATAAAGAATTAAACCAGACCATTAAATTGCTGTGTCTAAAATCTGTGTGGTTGAGATATGAGGGATTTTTAAACTATTATTGAAGTAGCTTAGAGAAGTGGAGGCAGGAAGACTGAAAAGCCTCTGCAATACTTGTGATTAAGAGCCAAGACTTCAGAGCTGAGCCAATACGGATTTTCTTTTTTACTCTACCACTTACTGGCTATATGACTTTGAAGAAATGACTTGACCTTTCTGAATCTTAGTATCTCACCTATAAAATAAGTACAATAATGTCTATTGTAGAGTTGCCTTCAGGATTAAATGGAACAAGGAATAGAAATTGTCTTGTAGGGTTTCAGCTTATTATGAATTTTCTAACTAACAGCATTATTACATTGCATTTATCAAATCAGCATTGTTAGGAGAAAACAAACATCTATCAATCAGTGGATACTGATTGAGGACCTACTGTACAACAGGTGCCATGGTGATATCATAAATAAATATATATATATATATATATGCAGGGACAGAGAGAGAGAGAGAGAGAGAGAGATGCTCTTTTGTCCCTAAGGATCCAGAGAGTGCTAAAGCATAGGAGCTATAGAAACAAAGAGAAAGGAATATCTAAGTGAACTTGAGGCCCAGAGTATTAAAGAGTCAAGCTTAAATTGAGAGTTGACAGATAAATAGCAGGGGCCAGGGAAATTTGTTCCAGAGAGCATTTCTGGGAAGACGGACACCACATTCTCAAATGAAGCATCAGCATGTGGCATGTTCAGAGACTAGATGCTGAGCCAGATCAACATGGGTTGGAACACAAGGAAAATATTTAAAATAAGATTTTTAAGGCAAAAGGTGTCTAACCCTACAACACAAATTCTGGTTGCATTGATCTAAATACTTCATTAATTGGGGGGAATAACAAATGTACATGCTAATCCACAGGCTGACCTTTTGTTCCTCTGATCAAAAAATAAGTGACAAGTACTGAACAACAGTAGTCTTTCCCTTTTCTTGTCTTTCATGTTGTACTAATCTGATGTTTATCATGTCTTCAAGGTTATTCTCATATTGCAAAACTCATAAGAGAAAAAGAGCGGAACTGAAGGAGGAGAGAAGCAAACGCTTTACAATTTAGCAAGATACATGTGAAGACATCTCATTAAAACATTGACTGTATGGTTACTCTGTATATAATTATATTGGTAATGTGTACATGGCTCATTTAGTATGTGTTTGTCCAGAAATGGTCTTGTTTCTGGCTTCTTTAAATATAATAGCTGGTTAAATTAAATCAGGTACCTGATCCCATGCTAAGCTGTATACATTTGATACCACATGAGATCTCACAGAACAATGATAAAGTAGGTACACTTTGCATTTTACATATGTAGAAAGTGAAGCTTAGAGAAATAATGTGACTTGTTCAGTTTCAAGGAATGAAGAGGACAGGTCTGGGGACTTGAACCCATCCTTTGTGAGTTGAAAGCCTATGCTCTTTGCATTACATTAAACAATAATTTGCTACCCAACAGGAGAGACCATGCCATGCCACAGAAAAGCCCACCTGCACTTTCAGGCATGGTCTTGGAGCCTGAATCCACGCACTCAGAAAAGCAAAGCCCTACATTAAAACAAGACTTCATTAAACAACTGTATTTGTAATAAGTCCTAAAAAACCACTTATCTCAGTTAATTGGTCCAGTGCTTCTCCAATATATGAAGAGTTAAAATGTTTTTCCCAAGGATGGAATTATATGTCATTAGGACAGAGTTAAAACAGCGGATATGAGAAAAGAAAGCACTTGAGATTGCGACTAAAACAAAGTAAACGAAACGTTTATTCTTCCAGATATCCCAAAGTATAGTCAAAAATGTGGCATGGAAACTCAAGCATTAATCAAAATTAGCCATTTGCCTTGTAAATGAGGCCATTAATGCTCAACTTAAGGTGGACAGTAACCTGTTGCTTCCCTCTAATTGTGTAAGAAAGTTACATACAGCATATATCTGACTGCAGTCTTCTGTAGTTAGCTGTGATTTCCAAATGGCTCGATGTGAAATACAAATCTTACAAGCCATTAGCCTATTAATAGTTGTAGCAAATATTTCAAAATTGTCCATTAGCCAAATAGAGTTGGCTATATTATTGCTTAGATAAATGTCGTAGTGTATCTAGGATAGTAATAAAGTCAAACTTACCTCTCAAATTCCATTCCTCGTGTGCTGTTCCAATCAGGGCACACCATTATGTGAAGAAGTTAATAAATATCAATGAATTGTATTTTGAAAGATATTAAACAAGTGAACATGTGACACAAAGGAAAGTAGAGTAACTTTTAAAATTCCATAAATATACCAGAAATTAAATGTGTAAACACTGGGTGTGCTTTCTCTTAATAGTCTTCAGAATTGTTCAGGGAAGCCTGTAAATTGTAATAAGGGGAAGAAGCTCTCAGGGAGAAAAGCCTCAAACTGTTCTTAGCTTTGGTAAGCACGGTGCTCTGAACACAGTAGGAACACAATCAATGCCGTGACCAATGGACTCATAAATGTGGAGCGTCTTGAAATTAATGATAACTTTAACATGTCTGAGG